AAGCATTTGATGTGACAGCACTTTGAACTTTTATTAGAACAGCAGCARTTAGTAGAGATATGGTTGAGTACCTGCCCCCAAGAACCTGCTCTGTGGGGATCTTGAGGCAGAAGGGATGCTTGCAAAAGGGAGTTGTCACAGAGATCAAAGGGAGGGAGGGAAGTAAGTGCAGCTTTGGAGAAGACTGACAGGTTCCGAGGACAGCAGCAGAGAGAAGGAAAGTGAGGTTCTGACTTTCCCTCTTGGCATCTCCCARTTGGTTAGCTTATCTCCTGGGCAGCTCTTAGACGAATTCAGGCTGGATTTCACAGAGACAGGCCTCTCCTTGCTTCTGCCCACTGTCCTCAGTTCCAGCTGTTACTCTCGGCAGGTGTCCTCATCTGCCACTGGGGCACTAGAGGGAAGCCATTTCACAATCAACTCTTGTGACCAAAGGCAGATGTAACCAGCTGGTGATTCATCTCAGGGAACAGAGGTTTCCAATGCCCTCCTGGATCAGGACCCATAGCCTTAGGGGGCCRTTGCTAGTACTGCAATGGCCCTTAAGGGCTGTACAAGTTCACAAGTTGGTTTCTTTTCCGATCACTTCTATTCAAGCCCAAACATGTTTCTTTGTTTTCTTCGGTCAATAAAACATTCCAAAACGTGTTGCTCACCATTTAAAAAATACTAGCTTTGTTGAGCTATAATTCACATACTGTACAATTGACCTATTTAAAGCATACAATTATATGATTTTTTTWAAATGGTTAGGGCTGTGCAACCTCCACCCAATTGATTTTTAAAACATTTTCAGCACCTTGGAAAGAAATCCCATACCTATTAAGAGTCACTTTTTTCCTCCAAAACCCCCATCCCTGGTTAATCACCAACTCACTTTTCTATCTATAGATTTACCCATTTGTGAACAACTTATAAGGTATAAGCATAATACATGTAAACTGAATTTTCTATAACTGAATTTTCATTTGGCATAATGTTTAAGTTTCATCCGTWTTATAGTATGTGTTGTTACTTCACTTTTTGTATTGCCTGATAATATTTGCCCATCTATGATAAATATTTTGTTTCTACTTTTTGGCTATTTAAATAATGCTTCTATGTGAACATTCATGGACAAGTCTTTGTATGGACAGAAGTTTTCATTCCTCTTGGGTATAAACCTAGGAGTGCCACTGTGCATCATGGTAACTCTAACCATTATGAGTACCTGCTAGACTCAAAGCAGCTGCACCACTTTACATTCCCACCAGCAGTGTAGGAGGGTTTGAAATTCTCCATCTCTTCATCAACATATTTTTTATTATAGCCATTTTAGTGGGTGTAAATTATGTGCTATCTCCTCTTGGCTTTGGATATGCATTTTTCTGATACCTGATGAGGCTGTTCATCTTTTCCTAGGTTTATTAGTAAGTTGCATATATTCTTTGGAGAAATGTTTATTAAGATCCTTTGCTCATGCTTTAATGGGGTTAACTTTTTCAATAAGTGGCAAGAGTTCTTGGAAAGTAAGAGTTCCTTATCAGGTAAACAATTTTCAAAAATGCTCTTTCACTCCATAAATTATCTTTTCACTTTCTTCATGGTGCCCTTTGAAGTACAAAATTTTCCAAGTTTGACGATGGTCCAGTATCTCTATTTTTTGTTATTGTAGCTTATGGTTTGGGGATCATTTCTAAGAAACCATTTCCTAATCCAAAATCTTGAAGATTTGTACCTATGTTTTTTTTAAAAGCATTTTATACCTTAAGCACTTACATTTAGATATTTGATTCATTTTAATTTTTGTGTATGGTGTGAGGTAGGAGGGTCCATTCTTTGGCATGAAGATACCCAGTTATTCTAGCACATCTGTTGAAAAAGTTCTTTCCCCATTATTTTGTCCAAATCCAAAGACAATTGACYATAAATGTAAAGATCACTTAATATTTTCTAAGAATATTTTCATAATTGCTATGCAAAAGTGTTCATATCATATTATAGTATGCTGCTGACGATTATTCAGATTGAAGAAATGACAGACCTTTTTATTCTAGTTCATTTTGAAAGAGGAGACAAATTCTAAGTAGTTAACTAGTCTCAATTTATACATTAATTCAGACAAAATTATCAGCCATGTGTTTTGGACCTGAGCCCAAACAGTTTGATGAACCAGAATCTCATCTGATATGACTTTAGCAATCTARTTGAGAAGAATCTCCTAATGTCTTATACTTTGGTTTTCTGTCATTGAATGGAATGCCTTGCAGGTAGTTTTTGACGATTCTGGACAGACTGTGATCATCTTCTCAAAGGACAGCCAGGTGGTAGGGTCAAGGAGAAAACCTGCTCCCCATGGGGCTCCCAACTATCATTTTTAATTTCTATACTCTGCCCTTCTGCCCAGTTCCACTTCAAAAATAGCAGGCAGCTTTGGCAAGAAGTCACTGGTTGCAATTTATCAGTAAGCTTTGGACACAGCTGTTTCCCATCTTTTGGCAAAGTCAGGGATTTGGCTTCTCTCCTAGATGGGATAAAAATTTTGTGGAGGGTGTCAAAAAAGACACATTCCAGGTGCACACAAATGTCTCTTAATTTACTGCTATAAGATTCACTGTGGAAAAAATATGGATGAGACTGTATATGCAATCCTTAAAATTAGCGTAAGTATCAACTGTCACACRTAGATATATACAGATCTATCTATATCCATAATGTAAACAAGACTTTGCAGTCTTTAGAATCTCCCRTATCAGAATCTCTGGATGGGCAGAGGACTTTTAAAAATTAATATTCCCRAGTCCCTTCTGAATCAGAAATTATGGGGGAACAGCTTTGCCTGTAAAATAAAGGCAATTCTCCCACCTCCCTGGCTTGAGAGGGGTAGTATGCGGTAGGCTTGCAGATGGAGCCCAGAATGTGGGACAATGAAGAGATTGAATAATGATTCCCATTTCTCGAGGCCCCTATAAAGATGAAMCTACACAACATGCAGAAAGGTTCTAACAGTTGTCTGGCACCATGCACAATGCACACCTATTTCTGGCACAGTAGCCTCATCTCCTCATGCCCCTCTCAATRGCCACATTAGTTACATTCTTGATTTAGGAATCAGCAATCAGCCAAGTGCTAAGCCGCTGGCATAGTGAGCCTAATAAATAAGCAGAAAACTCTGACAAATAGAAAAACAGGGCCTACTCAGGGACCAGCACTGCCATCCAATGAGCAGGGGTTATCTACTTGGTGTTGTAAGAGGTCACCCCATGGGGTCAGGAATATGGGGTCATTAACCATTACTTCTGCCTGCAACCAACCAGGTATTTGCTGCACACATTTAAATTGTATTTCCTAGGTTTTTGTTTTAAGACTCAATCTTAGAAAACTTGCAAAATACAGAATACAAGAGAAAAATAATTTTTCCCTCATCATCCAGTGATATGCTCTGTGTAGGAGCCCAGAATATACCATTCCAAAAATATGCTGCTTTGCCATAAAGACTATTTAGAGCTGAAGGAAATTAAATTTTTAAAAAATTTTTAAATATACTCCTTAAACTAAAAAACAAAACAAAAACAAACAATAAAAAAACTATGCCCTCTAAAAGTAGCACAGCCAGGCATGGTGGCACACATCTGTAATCCCAGCAGTTCAGGAAGCTGAGGCTGGAGGATTACAATTTCAAAGCTAGCCTCAGCAATTTGGTGAGGCCCCGACTCAAAATAAAAAATAAGGGCTGGAGATGTGGTTCAGAGTAAAACACCCATGGGTTCAATCAAAAATAAATAAAAGTAGGATATAAATTCTTGGATTTGGAGGGTTAAAAAAATAAATTATAATTTTGGGTCAGCCATCAATGAGAAGTGAAAATGCCAGACCAAATGAGAAATGTTTAGTCTGTTTATAGAAGCCTCTAGGAATGGAGGGGCTGCTGACAGGGAAGTACTAGCCATTTGCTTCTGGCTGACTTCATGAATGTATAATGAAGCTGAACAGGGACACCGACCCCCACAGGGCTTAGCAGAGGCCCTTAGATTTGATRTTCTGCAAGAGCATCTTAAAGTTCATAGTAATTTTGTCTTTGAATTCAAGTTTTGTTAAGTGAAATTCAATGCCACTGAGTGCACAACCCTTCTAAATCAAGCACCTCACTGTCGTCTTGCTGGTGGAGTAGCCTGTGCTCCCCACCTGGCTGCTCCTACTTCCCAGTGGCTACTGCAGGACCTCTGTCCACTTAGCGCCTCCCTCATGCTTTCTAGGCCCTTTTGTCTTCCCAATCAGATACTTTTCATCTTTCATGAATTCCTCAATGTCATCTTCTGCTTGCTTTTCAGTGAGGATATTTGTTTAAATTTCTTTAATTTCTTGTCATTTGTTATGAGAGGCACATGTGTGTAGTTCAACACTGAGATGGAATTATTGAAATAATCTCTATCACTTTCAAGTCAGAAATCTCTCTTCTAGCTAATTATACCAAGGAATTAAGAATAAAGCTTTAACCAGGTGTTGTGGCTCATGCCTGTAATCCCAGTGACTCAGAAGTCGGAAGCCAGAGGATCACAAGCTCAGGACCAACCTCAGCAACTTGGTAAAGCCCTAAACAATTTAGCAAGAACTTGTCTCAAGAAATAAAGAATTTTTAAAAAGCAGCAAAGAATCCTTAAAAATATTTTTTAAAATGAYTTTAACCACAACGAGTTTCATCCCAGTAACATTTATTAAAAAGGGGGAAAATATTCAATCAGAAGAGACTAGTTAAATAATGGTGATACATCCTTACAACATAAGTGTGAAAATAATATGGCTGAATAGTTCATGATATGGGAAATCAATGTCTCAAGTGAAAATTTCAGGTCACAAAATTTTTATTAAAAAAAGAACACATTATAATAGAAAAGGACAATTCTGCATGGTGGGATTTCTGGTGACTTTTTTTCCTTTTTTTTTAAACTCTTTTTCTCCTAAATTTGGAATTGTTTACAATAACTGCCATGTAAAAGCCTCTGGTGCCACCCTCTGCTTACCTCCTCAGGTGTGCTGGAAGATGGACTGTCCTCTAATGGTGTTCCCCGACCTACAGCCCCAGGTGGAATATCCAACCAAGAGAAGAAGATGAACTGTGGGACCCAGTGCCAGAATTCCCAGAGCCTCAGCTCAGGCCCTTTGACCCAGAAACAGAATGGCCTTTGGACCACAGAGGTAGGACTGCAACCACAGAATCGGCTCGTGACTGGACCACCCAGACTGTCCAGGGAAAGAGCACCTCAGCAATAGATATTCTCCACCCTTTCCCTATAAAATTACTGTAAACCTCACTCCAACCTCTACCTGGAGGGTTGCCATTTTTGTTGAAACAGCAGAAATGGGTCCTTGATATTTGTGCTCTAAAAGAAGTGTTGTGTTTAAGCACAGCTTTGTTCAAGTGACTTCTTCTCTAGGGTAGCCCGTGTCCAGGCAGCCCGTGTTCCTTATCCACATAGTCTAAATAAAATTACCAAAATGAGTCAAGAGATGGGCCTGCAGTTATCAACAAAGATGTACATAACAAGGGTAGTGCAGTTTAACAAAGGATAGTTCAATATGTGACACCACAACCCATTAAAGGGACACTGGAGCCCTTCAGACACTGTGAAAGCAATGGGAGTTAAATCTGAGCACAACAGTGGCTTCCTAGGGTCCTTTATTGTCCGCTTTGCCTCTGCAAAGCTGGCCTTCTGTAGGCCTGATCACTTTGCCATCTCTCAAGGCATTCTGGGTCTGAGAACCATGCTCAGAAATTTGGTGACAATTCTAGTGCAGGCCCAGACATTTGTCCCCTAGCCTCTTCCCCACACACATGACCCCATTCTTTAAGCCAGGATGGCCCTCAGCAGGGAGGAGGCAGAATCGCCTGGTGGATGTCATGATCCATGTATTATATTTCTTCACATTACTTTCTGCCCTCATCCATCATTTCAAAGTTGTATTTTGTATATTAGAAAGTACTTTTATGTTAACTGGCTCATTAAATCTTCCCAAGAGCATGGTGAAGCAAGCAGCATTCCCATTTTGTGGGCTAGGGATTCTGGGAGCCTGTGTGGCAGTTAAAGTAGGGTCAGGCAGAGCCAGCCCCTGCAGGGTTTCAGCCACAGGTTCATTTGAGTGTGGGATATGAATACAGGACCCAGACATAGCTGTAGAAGTGCTAGAGATGGGCGACATAAYTTTACAGTGAGAAAGTTGACTATTAGTAAGGTAGAACATAAGATCTTACAGTATTTTTTTAAGAAGAACAATAATGTATCAGTTAACTACTAACAGTATGTCATGCTGTGTAACAAAGCCTGTCAACATTCAGTGGCTTAAACMACCACCTTTCCTCCCTCCCTCATGGTCAGCTGCAACTTAAATGGACTAAGTCTGACTTTAGCTTCCAGGTCTGGCTCAGTCTGTTCCATGTGCATTATTCTGGAAATTATACCAAGGCACAATCTCTAAGGCATATTTTTCTCATAACTCTGATGAAAACTCAAGGGGGCAAAGCCAAAGACCTGAACCCATCTCATGTCTCTGTTCATATCATATCCACAAACAACACTAGTCAAAGCAAGTCAAATGGACCAGCCCCACATTAATGTAGCAGAGAGAGATGTGAGGAGAATGAAAGATTAGGAGCAATAACGCAGTCTATCGTTTATACCACACACACAAAATGCMCCAGTCATAAATTCAGTGAATTGTTGTAAGGTGACACATCCAGATGAAGACAGAACGTTAATGCCCCAGAAGTCCTCCTTGTGCCCATTCCTAGTCACCATCTATCCCCCACAACATAACCACTCTTTTGACTTCCAGCATTATAGATCAGTTCATTTTTGAGATTTTCATAAATGGGATCATACTGTTGTATCCTTTGTGTCTGGCTTCTTTTGCTCAACATTATCCTTATGAAAATTACCCACATCATTGTGAGGTTGCAGCAGTTTCTTCATTTTAATTTGTGTGTGTGTGTGTGTGTGTGTGTGTGTGTGTATATATATATATATATTTTATGTGACTACATCACAGTTTAACTATTCTACTTGATGTACATTTTAGTCATTTCCAGTTTGGGGCTATTGTGAACAACACAGCTATTAATATTCTTGCACATGCTCTTTGGTGGACTTTTTTTTCTTTAGGTTATATACCTCGGAGTGCAATTGCTGCATTGTAGGATAGGTCTATATTTGACTTTAATAGATCTGGGCAAACAGTTTTCCAAAGTGATTGTACCATTTTATACTCTTGCCCTCTGTGGATGAGTTCCAGTGTCAGTGATTTGTACTTAGTCTGACTTTCTTAAACCCATGACAGCATTTAATTGTGTGTTCTAGGTATAGCATAAGGGCCTAAGCACCAATATATCACCTCACTTAATTCTCACAACATTTGGATCAGTATCTAAAATGCTGATAGTTCTCAGCTATAAACTGCAGATGACAATAACAAGAGATARCTAAGGAAAGCTCTTCCCCACCAACATATCCCCATATTCTGGAGGCCTATGTAACAGTTAAAGTTGGGCCAGGCAGAACCAGCTGCAAGATTCTAGCAGCGGTGTACACAGTCACAGGACAGCACTAGCTACACACCTGACCAGTGTGGCCCCGGGGAAATGCACACAGTGGCAAACTGTGTGCTCTTGTTTTCATGAATTAACTAAGGATGGCTATGTTGTAACTATTTCAAAATAAGATCAGGGAGCAGATAGCTTTGGTTTTAAGATTTCAGACAATTATTGAAGCTTATCAATGGTCCTTGCATCTGAAGATAAATCAGACAACAGACATCTAGAGTCCCTCAAAGGACAAGGCAAAGGTTTTCTATCTAAGGTGTCAGTTTTTAAGGTAATTTTACCTCTAAGGCTTCTGCTGTAGAGCTTTCTTACACCGACACTCTGGAAGGTTTTCAGGTTATCTAGAATCTGATTAAAGGAAAGAGCGTTCTTCCTATTTCTTCCTAGGACTTGGATTTATGGTTTCTTTCTAATTCATCTTTTACCCTGGGCTGAAACCTCATGTATCTTCAGTATCTGCTGGTCTTCCTTTGCACTCCCTCCATGCCCCCAAGATGACCTACCCATGGTCCCTGGGTGACGATGGCTTGACTTAATGATTTTTTGACTTTACAATAGCACAATAACAATGGGCATTCCATAGAAACCATATTTTGAATTTTACATTTGGATCTTTTCCTGAACTATCAATAGGAGATATAGTCCTCTTCCACACTGGGCAGCCAGGAGCCCCAGCTCCCACTCAGCCCAATAATCACAAGGGGACCATGTTGCTAAGCTATGAAGTTCAGAAGATTATGTGTACTAAATACATTTTTGATTTATTATATTTTCAACTTGCAATGGGTCTCTTGAAATGTAATTCCATGGTAAGCAGAGGAGCAACTGTGCTAGCACTTGACAGTGTTCCCCTTGTGCCCCATCAGGCTGTCTGGCAGATGGTTCTTTGGCATTTTCTTTTTAAAGMTTTCCTTCTCTAGAAGACCCCTCTGGAGAAGCTTGCAGCCCTACCCACATGCTCAAGGTGGCCTAGTCATTCAGACAAGTGTGTGTGTTAAAGACAACCCAATTAGGTTTGGAAATTTTCCTCATCGGTTCCTATAGTGCTCTTGAGAGCCGTTCATCACATGTCCATTGAGCACTGTTCTAGAACCAAGGATCCAGGAGGGGAGCAAAGCAGGTGTGGCATTTGTTCTGGAGCAGCWGCCAGTTTTAATTGGGCTAAGGATTGGAACAGATAACGTAAATAAAGCAGTTACAAACAGATTGATGCTCTGAAAGAACTGGAAGGTCACTAATAGCGGGTGGCAGCTCTGTATAGCACAGATGCATCCAACAGTTCAAATAGCTTTCTAAAGGGTGATGGGGCGCAGCTCACAACAGTGAACAAAAAGCACCTGCTGCTCCGAGTCCTCCTCCACTTTATGCGCCTTCTAACAGACCACACCCTCCTTTCTCAACTCCCTCTGGGCCCTGCCTTCTGCCTGGTATTAATAGATGCTACCTGGCAAAACAACTGGCAAAAAGTGATCTTTCACAAATTGGACTCAACCATCTAGGTCAGGAGCTCTCCTGTTGCATCTTGATTACCTCAATCTTTTGGGACTTTATTGACTCTGTAGTGTCTGATGACTTATTAGCTCAGTCTCCTTCACCTAGTCCCCCAGCTGTGCTCAAACAGCAGGCAAGGAGACTGAAGTATTGCTCATCTTCTGCTAATTAGTTGTTCAGGAACTCAGGGCTGCCTCTGCTTATTCTCTAGCCCTCATGTGCCATTTCCTTGGGCTTAGAACTCCCATCCCAAGCCCTGACACTCCATAAACACAAAATTCAGAGAAGGTAGAAATATATATGTGGACATAGCTCTAAGCAGACACAGCTCCAAGTATGTGGCCAGCATCCCAGTGAGCCTTCGTGTCTTCAAAAGCTGCATATTTTCCAGTTGTTTTATTATTTTTGGCAAAATGCCCAGACTATGCTAAAGGAATTAGCCCTTGTCTGGACAGAGCTCTCAGCTAAAGGGCTTCCTACTTCTGTCCCGCTCCCAGTGTCTGGCCAACAGTCAGAAGGATGGCTGAAGCCCCACAGAGCTGAGAGAGGAGGTCAAGAGAGGAGGAAGAATAGGATTAGCCTAGAATTTCTCCTGGACAACAGTCATCAGAGCCAAGGGAAGAGATTGGAAAGTCATGATGAGTCTCTCCTCATAACACAAGACATCAAAACAAACACTAGACATCAAAAGGAAGGAGAGAACAAAAGAACCCACAGGGGAAAAACCAAAGAGGGGAAGCGCCYTTCTAAGTGTGAACTGGGCAGGGGGCGGTGGTGAGCTCAGTATTCTTTCTCAAGCTTGGGGAATTCTTCAAAGTTTTGCCTTAAAGTTTGATCCCTGTCTTCCAAGATGAACAGCTGGCCCCTAGTAGAGTTGCCAAGATGGAATATTCCTGGATTGGCTTCACCTTAGTGCTATGAAAATCATGAAACAGCAAACCAATATATGGAATTTGGGAACAACTAGAGGTTTCTTATTGTCAGTATTGCTTTAATGGAGACCTGACTCAAAAGAAGTCAAACATCTTGAGTTGCCACTTGCAAGGCACTGGTCTTCAATATTCTGAGGCAGAAGCAAAGAGGAAAAATGGARTTCCTACTATGTGCCAGG